CGAATTCTTTTGTTATCATTCAAACCATTCCTATATTCTTTTGTTATCATCTTCATTGATGACATTTTTGGTTTATTCGAAGAGTAACAAAAAGCGCACCGATCATCTTCGTATTGTTTTGGGGTCCTTGGAAAACAAAAGTTGTATTTAAAATTTTCCAAGTGTAAGTTCTGGTTAATTTTAGTTGACTTTTTGGGGCATGTAGTTTCAAAGGAAGGGGTGATGGTAGATCCTCAAAAGATCAAAGCGGTGAAGAAGTTGGTCCGACCTAGCTCGATGATGGAAGTTAGGAGTTTCATGGGGCTCGCGAGCTATTACCGGCGATTTATGAAAATATTTGCTTCTATCACCACACATTTGACAAGGCTGACCGAAAATGAGGTGCCTTTCGAGTGGACTGACAATTGTGAGGAGAGCTTCCAAAAGCTTAGGACCCTTCTGACCACAACCTATTCTGGCACTATCGGTGGAAGGTAAGAATTTAATTGTTTATTGTGATTCTTCACATTCGGGTTTGGTTGTTGTGTTGATGCATGATAAGGATGTCATAGCTTATGCATCGTGTTAGTTGAAAGTTCATGAGAGGAACTACCCGACTTATGACTTGGAGTTGACAGCGATAGTGTTTGCCCTTAAAATCTGGCGGCATTACCTTTATGGTGTCAAGTGTGAGGTGTTTACTGACTATCGTAGTCTACAACATATATTCACTCAAATGGACCTGAATCTGAGACAATGAAGATGGATGGAGTTACTCAAGGATTATGATGTTACCATTCAGTATCATCTTGGTAAGGCTAACGTGGTGGCAGACACATTAAGTCGAAAGACGGTAAGTATTGGCAGTCTAGCTTGCTTGGGTGTGTCCAAGCGACCTTTGGCCAAAGAGATTCAAACCTTGGAGTCTAAGTTCGTGTAGTTGGGCATCTTAGTGAAAGGTGGGGTATTAGCTAGTATTGAGGTTAGGCCCATATTTATTGAGGAGATTAAGGCCAAACAGTTTTAGGATGAGAGTCTGAATGAGCTCAGAAAGAACACAGTGTCTGGCAAGGCATAAGATGCACCTCTTGATGTGGGTGGTGTGCTCAGTTTTAAGGGAAAAATTTGTGTTCCCCGAGTGGATGACTTGATTCAGAAGATGTTGACAGAATCCTATGGTTCGAGGTATTCCATTCATCCGGGTGTGACCAAGATGTACTGAGACTTGAACGACTTTATTGGTGGCCTGACATGAAGAAATACATAGTTGAGTTTGTGGCTAAGTGCCAAAACTGTCAGCAGGTAAAGTATGATCACCAAAGGCCTGCAGGTTTGGTTCATCAAATGCCAATCCCTGAATTGAAATGGGAAATGATAGCTATGGATTTCGTGGTTGGTCTTCCCAAGACCTTGGGGAAGTTTGATTACATTTGGGTGGTGGTTGACAGACTGAGTAGACTATAATGCTCAGCAGCTGGCTAAGGTTTGTGTGAAGGAGATAGTGAAGCTAGATGAGGTGCCTCTTTCTATCATCTCGGACCGTTGTACGTAGCTCACATCCAAGTTTTGGGGAAAATTACATGAGGAGTTGAGCACTCAACTCAATTTTAGCACAGCCTTCATCCATAGACGGATGGGCAGTCAGAGAGGACTATTCAAGTGTTAGAGGACATGTTGAGGGCTTGTGTGATTGACTTTGGAGGGCATTGGGATAAGTTCCTACCTTTGTGTGAGTTATCCTATAATAATAGTTACCACTCCACTATCAACATGGCACCATTTGAGGCACTTTATGGGAAGGAATGTAGCTCACCCATAGGGTGGTTTGAGGCTGGAGATGTGAAACCTTTGGGGATTGATTTGGTGAAAGATGCTCAAGATAAGGTGAGAAGCATCCAAGCTAAGCTTCTAGCAACCCAGAGTCGACAAAAAAAGTATGCACACCGTAAGGTAAGGGACATGACGTTTCAGGCCAGTAAGCAAGTTCTTCTAAAAGTGTCACCCATAAAGGGGGTGATGAGATTCAACAAGAAGGGAAAGCTTAGTCCTTGATACATCGGTCCATTTGAGATTATTGGTTGTGCAGGGACAATGACTTATAGGTTGGCTTTACCGCCTAGCCTATCTGGAGTCCATCCAATATTCTATGTGTCCATGTTGCAGAAGTATCATGGGGATGGAGATTACCTCATAAAATAGGATTCAATTTTGTTAGACTAAGACCTTCAGTATGAGGAGAAACCGGTTGCAATTCTTGATCGCGATGTCAAGAAGTTGAGGATCAAGGAGATAAAGTCTGTGAAAGTTCAATGGAAGCATCATCCGCTTGAGGAAGCTATGTGGGAAACCGAGAAGGACATGCGAGACAAGTATCCCAGTTGTTCGACAATTCAAGTACTACTCTATTCTTGCCTTATCCATTTCTCCTAGTTATCACTCGGGGATGAGTGATGGGTAAATTGGTATATATTGTAACGACCTGATTCCGTTGTTATAGAAAAGCCAATGGGGAAGGAAATTCCCCCAGAAAACTTCTGGGTAGCGACTTGGAAATTTCTAGCCTAGGCCAAACTTGGACGAAATCTGAGTCAGGTGAGGTATAGGGAAATCTGGTAATGAATGGGGATTTAATTATGATTTTAATCATGTGAGTAGATAGCCAAGACGTTAAGGAGCCTGTACGGCTTTACAAAATTGAATTCAGGCGAGTAGAACTCCTGAAACTGATCTTGGTGTGAAAGGGTAGTTTTAGAACATCAAGGGTTGAAGGTGTGTTGCGAAATGGAAGCTTGGGACTCAATTTTTGAGTTTCTGTCTACGTGCAAGCCACCGGGGCGGGTTTAACCCACTAGGGCGGGGCCGCTATGACGGGATATGGCTCGTCGTGGTGGGCCCGTCACTACTTAAGTTGGGGAAAAACCCCAATTTCGTTATTTTCTGCAAAACTTCATTCTTCAGAGCTAAGAGACGACCCAGGGTAGTTTCTTATTAGATTCCCACGACTTGTAGTGCTAAAAGTAAGATAATTACTTCCCTTATACGTATTTCGATTATTAGAACTTAGAATCTTGGGTAATTATCGTTGGAGAAGGATTTTAGCTTGAAGTTAATGGTGGGAAAAGTCCTAGTTGAGTATTAGGATCTTGAGTTTGGCCTTGGATTGATATCTTGATTATTATCTGGGTAAATTATGCCTTGTTTTTTGATCCTTGCATTAATTACTTGTTTTTGGCAAAAAATGAGTTGAAAGACTTCAGAAACGGAAGGCTCAGGTGTCTTGGGAGTATTCAGGTTTGGTTTCGAGGTAGGTGATGGTTCGATTTCCTGTTGTGTGATATATGTCGGTTAATTGCTTCATTGTATGCGTACATGTATGTGAATGGGGAATGTGAATCAAATCTAATGAAATGATTATGTGTGAATAATTACATGTCATGAACCTATTACTTGATTGTATGACTATGTGTACTATTCATTATGAGTTTGATTGTGACTGTGGTTGTGCTGACTGGATCGAGTGTCATGTTCCGAAACATATATTGGATCGGGTGTCACGTTCCGACACATATATTGGATCGGGTGTCACGTTCCGACACATATATATTGGATCAGGTGTCACGTTTCGACATACTAACAGTTTGGGTATGAGTTCCATTAGAGGACCACTTGTGATTATTACATTCATATGTACATGTCTTTGATATTGGGAAATTGTATGTCGCTCCTAAAATGATAACTGAATTATGCATTTTGTATATGTGTGTTTACTGTGTTGGAATTGCTTCCATATATTACGCTTCCTTGAGTATCTGTGTGATCCTACCAGTACACCGTGGTTTCATGTACTGATACTTCACTTGCTCTTTCTTTGTTGAGTATAGGGCATATTCAGGCGGCTACTGACAGACCTCAGTTAGGAGATCATTGATCGAGACCAGATCTGAGGGTTAGCCAATTCTTTCATGCTGTCATGGATTTATCCTTAGTTTAGTCCATTCTTTTCGGACTCAGACTACATATTTAGACTTTTACTTATGTTTAGTTTTTGGGGTTGCACCCCTTTGTTCTTAGACTTGTTGATTAGTAGAGTTTTGATACAATGACTTTCAGGTTCTAGGAGGTTAAACTTCTGCGATGTGTATGTTAGGTTTTTTGTTTAAACCTTCGGAGTTTATGGGAACTCCATATTTAGTTCATCATTTAAACCTGCTTCTATATCTTTAAATGCTTTAGTCTCTTAAAAATTGCTTAGACGGGTTGTAGTAATGGTTCTCCCATTGGAGGGTTAGTGTGGGTGCCAATCACGGCAGTCTGGTTCGTGACAGAGAGGTAGGAATAACAATGACTGAACTGGAGAAACTTTCTATCATTGCGGAGTGATTCTTTTGATGAAAAGTTTGAATATTTGGCCGGAAAGGGAATCTACAAGGAGAGAAATCAGGAGTTCTTGGAGGGAAGAGATTGATTTTTATTTTCTAAATCAGGTAATTTAAACTTTGAAGATGGGAACTATTTTGTAGGTAGGAATTTTTTAATATTTTGGTACTAAAATTGACCACTTTTAACTTCGTTTAGTTAAATCGGGAGTTCTTGGAGGGAAGAGATTGATTTTTAATTTCTAAATCAGGTAATTTAAACTTTGAAGATTGGGAACTATTTTGTAGGTAGTAATTTTTTAATATTTTGGTACTAAAATTGACCACTTTTTAACTTTGTTTTGTGAAGTGTCTATTTCACCAATTTTTTTTTTTCAAAATTGACGAATATTTTACTAATTGAGTTTTCAAAGTGTTATTTTAGTAGTGTACTTGTATAGGTGTAGTTAATATGTATTAGTCCTACATGCTCATGTTCAACATGAAAATGGGGCCATCGGCCCTTTTAGCCAGCCTATAAAATGCCTCCTTCCTGCTATAACTTTGCCATTCACCTTTCAAGTACAAACAACTTTTGGCTGACACTCTAATTACACCTAATTCACTACACATTGTCCTTGCAAACTCAAATAATACTTTTAAGTCATGGAATCCACTAATGTCACAGAATTCTATTATAACCCACCTCAATATAATTACACACCCACATTTCATGATCAGTCCATTAATAGAATCCCTAGTCCCTTGTATCACCTTCAAATTGGTCCTCCAATTCAAGAACTCAATTCACAATCAACTTATTTCAATGGTAACAATTCAACGTGTGATGAAATTGATGAGCTAATTAATGAAAGGAAAAAGAGAAGAATGATATCTAATAGAGAGTCCGCAAGGCGTTCGCGCATGCGCAAGCAAAAACACTTGAACGAACTATGGGCACAGGTTAGTGACAAATGTATAGTTTACGGGATTATATAAGATAGAGACGTATTCCAAATTTTAAAAGAGTACTAGCTTTTGAATAATTTTTTTTTAATATATATATATATATATATATATTGTTGATTTCTCTACACAAATAATACAAGATTAAGTTTATTTCTCCATACAAATTACTAGTATATATGGTATTCATTACTTTTAATTAGTTTGTGCCAAAAATATTGATACCCTTCTATATTTGGAAGCTCGTTGTTTTCACATTTCTCACATTTACAAAGAATTATAAACATATAAAGATTAAATCTTGAATTCGCCTCATTACAGGTTAATTGCCTGCGGAACGAGAATCACCTACTCCTGAACAAACTTAATCATGTCTCAAAAGGCCATGACCAAGCACTTGAAGAAAATGCTCAACTCAAAGAAGAAACTGCTGGACTTCGTCAAATGGTTACTAACATGCAGCTCATGAATGGTCCTAATTATCCTTCTTTAAAAGATCTTCAACTTGATAATGATGAACCTTGTAGTGGTTCATCTCAAAATGAATAGTATAAACATAAATGTGAATGTCCTTTAACTTAGCCTTATCTAATATTTATGTTTTTCAACTTTGGGTATGCACAGATAGATACTTAAACTTGTACACAGAACAAGTAAACGCATGTATTCTACTTGCAATTAGCTTCCTATATGGCGTCCTACGTGTATTATGTCACGTAGGACACGTGTGTTTACTTGTTCAACTTTATATAAGTTTAAGTGTCTACTTATGCATACCCAAAGTTCAAGAACATAAATACCAACTGAGGTCAAATTAAAAGCCATATTTATATATGTATTATGCCAAATTTATAAAGTCCCCTATATATTATGCTTGTTGGCCATGGTTTTCTCTGTTTTTGCTTTCTTTATATTTGGATGATGGAAATAATTTGAGTTTTTCTCTCCTTATTGGTTAATATCTTTCTTTGTTGTGGTCAAGGCTATGATTATTATATATTTTCCCTTTATCTTTGTCGTTCTTGCTTTGCAATAGAAGTATTTGTCCCTATTTGTGTTTGTTTTTTTTCCAAATTTAAACAGTGTAAACTTTAACTAATAATTTAAAATGTATTATCTCAATCATATTGATATAAGAATAATTTTAATTTAGAGTACTTTATTTTTAGTTTTTCATACATAGATTTTAATTTAAAAATATTAAGTTGATCAATTTAATTCTTTACTTTAATAATTAATCAAATTGATTACAAAAAGAAAGTAAAAAATATCAGCTACGTATCGATCGGTTCGGTTCGATTTTGAAGTTTATCGGTTTGTAGAGATGCTAAACCATTATAGAACCATTAAGATATTAGCTTATCGGTTATTGGTTTATCGGTTATTGATCGTTATCGGTTCGGTTATCGGTTTAACCATTAAGATTTGACACAAAAAAAAAAAAAACATTGAAAATCACTTAGAAACAAGGTTACAAACAAAATGAACCATGCACATGAGTTCACAAGTTACATCTTGCTCGAAAGCAAATGCTTTTACATTGTAGAATAACCAAGAGTTTGAGACAACTAAAAATAAAAGTAGGAAACCAAACTCTAAGTCAAAGACCGATATACAAAATGGTATATATGTAATTATTTAATTTACTACCGGGTTATCAGTTAACCCTTAAGAACTGATAACCCGATAACAAAAAAAATCAAAGTCGTTATCAAAATCACTAAACTAATAACCTATTACTGATAAACCAATAACTTTTTTTTTGGTTCGAATTATTGTTTCGATTCGGTTTTAAACCGCCCTAATATAAATAAGAAAGAAGAAATAAACTTTCAGTCTAAGCTAGCTATCAATTAAGTACTGTAATGCCTTTCGGTCTAAGCTATCAATTACGATTTTAAGTTGATCTAATTCAATTCTAACTAAAAAAATTAATTAACATTACAAATATTAAAATATCAAAATATTAAGTTGACCATTTATATTAAAAAGAATTAATCACGAGGACAACTCTCCAAATGTAGCTACTAATATATTCTAAAATTGCATAGCTACAATAGAGCAAACATATCTTTTTGGAAAAAGTTACTCCTTTGTTCTCCAACTCCCATAATCTACTGTTCCAAGATTCAATTATGAGGGGGTGGCGGGGTGGGGGAAGGATGTTGTGATGGAAATTGGAATGGACACAATAAATATCACTTATGTAAAAAAAAAATCTACCTCCATGAGGGAAATCATTTTTATTTAATATATTTCTCGAAATAATATTTTTTAATATATTTTGATCAACCCAACATGTGAAGTTGAAAAACGTTGTCCTCCTATAATATTATACCCATAATATGTACATTTGTTCATAACTTCATGTAAACAAGTATATATGTGATTAGACAAGACATGGAACAATTTTAACTTATTAAGGATATGACCTTATAAATAGGACAGTATGAAGGTCCACCATAAGGATATGTGAGTGTTGTCGCATTCTTTGTGGGAGAGGGTGTGGGCTAACCCCCTCCTCCCCTCTTGTCCTTTCAGTAGTATTATTTAGTTATCACATAAGTTTTTATTCTTTGATGTGTATTAACATACATATATCTATTGTTTCATCTGTTTTGTATCTTGCTACTTTGGTGTGTCCTTTTCTTACAAACTTGCATTAGGTACTTGATTTTTTGAGCTGAAGATCTATCAAAAAATAGTTTTTATATCACGTAAAAATAAGTAGTATAAGATCTACGTATATTTTTTGGGGGTGCGGAATTCATGGTAAAATATAATAATACTTATTGTAATATTCTTCTGATAGTTGTCTTAATCTGACTGTTTGTTTAATATTATTTGTGATGTATTCTAAATACAACATATCTTGGGTTCTTAGGTACATATGTAAATTATTTTTCATTAATTCTTCTAATAGTTTTATGTCTTTCATAGCTTCTGTCCAATATTGTAAATATTCGTAGTTCATATTAATCTGAATTTATTTCTAAATCATACAATTCTATTCTTTCGAGGTCTAAATCATGTAGGTTTATATCATACCATTGTTGGTCTAATATATCTTCTGATTCGTTATCATTAAATATTTTTTCCCATATGATTCTTCTTAATTCAATTATCTCTATACCTCTAAGTATATATAGGATTAAAGTTTCATAGTTTTTTATTATTTCATCATGCATGTATGTAGTCATGTTCGTTGTTATGCAGGTTTTTTATTTTCAATTATTCCTTCCTATCATATCCATAATTGATTAAGTTCATATTAGATCATTATGAACTAGATTATCTGTTTATCATGTTCTCCTGTCACTACTAGCATCGTACTTTAGCGGATACTTCCTTCTTATCAGCGCCTCAACTTTGTTTACTCCCCTAAACGGCTTTCCTTGCCTACCAATTTCAACATTAGGATGGCATAGTATAGAAGTTTTCTCCTTGTTTCCAGTGTGCTAATAAACTAGAAATCATGATTCAAATAATTCTAATACATAATAACTAACATAAATTTATTCAATCATATTTATGATATTCAGGAATATATGAAATTAGTTTTGCATATTTGTTGAACAATATACCTTTGCCTCTTGCTTGTCTATGGTATCTGAAGGTTGTTCCATTATCTATTAAGTATGAATATCTTAAATTTTTTGAGAGTGTTTTTTATGAAAGCTTGCTTCGTTTATTGAAGGCTTCCTCATTATGTTACATGTACATTCCTTTATATAGAAAGGAAATCCTATCCTATAGCTACTGTACTTATATTTATCTGCACACTACTTTAATAATGCACACCTACCATACCTACTACTTTACACTTGTCCATTCATAATGCACACCACTCCTACCTACCACTTTAATATGCACCTACTTTAATAATGCATATTACCCTACACTTGTTGACTAATTTACATAATTTATTTCTACTCTACTAACTTTCTTACGATAAGACGAAAAATAATGTACCTAATAATTTACAATAATGCTCCTTTACATAGTACTATTCACTTTATACTATTTGCTTTTGACTTTTTTTGGCCAAATATGTCTTCTTTGTCTTATCTCTATATCTTATTTGTCCGTATCTTCTTTGTCTTCATATCTCTTTGACTTTATTCTAGCTGGACATCGGGAATCACATTGTCTTCTCCATTACATTTTGAACATATATGGTCAGGATATTTGTGCCCAATTAGCTTACAATATCTGGTCAATAGTTCTGAAGAAATAAATCCTGCCTTTAATGCTCTTGTTGTAGGTCTTTCTTCTGGTTTTAATAATGATAAAATTCATTTTTGAACTTCATCCATATCTGATTTTCTTAGTTCCCTTGAGTTGGCATAAATCATTAATTGATCTCTGGAATAGTAACTCCATATAGCATTTCCATTCAAATAATTATTGGCTAGTTCTTGTATTATAGTTGATATACCAATTATTCTTTTATTGGCATAGAAATTGGGTATCTCAATTTTTGGTATTTCTGGTTCTCCAATATCTTCCGGTATTATCATCTCTTTGGTCAGGCCTATCTTTACCACTTGAATAGGAGGTTTTATCTCCTCATGTAATATCTCTGCTGTTGCCGTATAGAATTTTACATAAAATAAATTTCCTTTGGTCACTCTTTTGTATATAATAAATGCTTTGTATAATTCTGGTATGCCACTTAGTTCTTCTCCGTCATAAGTATATGCAGTACTTATTAATCCATAATTATAACATGTTTTAACTAGGTTAACATTGGTTTTTGGCTGTGCAATTAGTTTATTGTATCCTTGTAATTTCTGGGTTATATAGTCTTGATTTGGATCTTTTGTAGTGGTAGATCTGGGATTGAGATTTAGGTAACTCTGTATTTTGTATATATTTTCGAGGTATGTCCTTGTGATGTGGTTATACACCTTTTTCTCATGTTGTAGGCTATCTGCATACGTTGAAGTTTGTGGTTCTATGGTTAATGAGTTTTTTGTTTTTTGTGTAAATGGCTTTTCAAATAACTGATTTAGATTTGCATTTCGTTGTTTTTCAATAACTGGTCTTCTTGTACCTGCAACTATATTTAGACAATCATTATGGGTTTTAAGGTGTTTCCCAACGTCACCTCTTAGCTCTGGATTTTTAAAGTCTTCCGATCGACTTAGCTCCACATTTTTATAGTCATGCTGCTGACTTGTACTAGCTTTAGACTTCAAATTATCTTCATTAGTCGTTAGCTTTTGTATCTCATTGTCCATACTGTCCACTTTGATACATACATGCACGATGAAATGATAAAAAACTATGAAACTTTAATCTTATATATACTTAAAGGTATAGAGATAATTGAATTAAGAAGAATCATATGGGAAAAATTATGTAATGATGACGAATCAGAAGATATATTAAACCAACAATGATATGAAATAAACCTACATAATGTAGACCTCGAGAGAATAGAATTATGTGACTTAGAAATAGATTCAGATTAAAATGAACTACGAATATTTACAATATTGGATAGAAGCTATGGAAAATATAAAACTGCTAGAACAATTAATGGAGAATAA